CCCCAGCCTCCTTCTCCCTCTTGGGTTTCAGTGCCCCAAAGCTGCTCAGGAATTTCAAGGGTAAAAGGGCTCCCAAACTAAGACCAACCCTAAGGCGGCAAAGATTTAATCACCTTTTATCTCTATCAGAGGGTGTTAGCATTTTAAGAGGCACCTTGAAGAGTAATTCCTAACCCAAAGGAGTGAGTGCCTAATGGTGGCATTTTAGGCTGTGTAACAAGTCTTGCCATATGGATGACAGGCTACTGCACTGGCCTTGTGTGAGTCCCAAGGGAATGGGAATGGGAAGGGAAGAGTGACATATCCCTCCTGAAAATCTTGTTTTTAAACTGCTTGTTATGCGTTTTGAGTTTATCTACTGTCAAGAAGATAGAATAAAAACGTAATCCTGGTTTAAAGACCCTACCAGCAGGCAGAGATAAAGAGCCCCCTCTTAGGGGAATTCACTATGGAAATTTGCACAGACAAATTTCATTGCTGCCTGGAAGATTTGTCTGGCTCGTTCTGGTAGATTTTGGGTGAGAGACTGCTGAGCTTGTCACTGTACCTAGAAACCAAAGTTGAGAGCGATGGCAGAGACTGACAATTGACCTCTCAAATTCATTCTCCCCTTTTTCCTTACGACAGAATCCTCATTTTGTCTAGCATAGCAATGTGCCTGGCTAAACCGATTACGTTTCTCAGACTCCTTTGCAGCTAGGAATGGTTGTGTGACACAGGCCAATGAGATTTAAGCAGAAATTGCCGGGTAGGGTTAATGGGAAAGTTCTTTAAAAGGTAGGGCCATCTCATTGGGCACACACCTTTCTTCTTCTTTCTGTCTGAAAGGCAGATGTGACATAAGAGGTGGGGCAACCATCTTAGGAACATGAGACAACCATGTGTACAAAGGAGAAAAAGAGATTCTGGGTCCCTGGTAATGCTGCAGGAATGTGATGCTACAAACTCTGGAAGGCCCGCCTCTGAGTTTCTTTTAAGTGAAAGTTGCAAAGAGTTTATTTGGTTAAGCGACTGTGCATTGCACTATTGAGTATCGCTTACCTAATTTTGACTAATGCAGGAGCCAAGAGAACAAACAACCAAACAAGGAATTGAAACAATTCCCCCAATTCAGTGGTTCTCAACTAGGGGTGATTTTGTTCCTCAAGGGACATTTGGCAATGCCTGGAGACATTTTTTGGTTGTTACAATTTGGAAGACAGGTGCTACTGGCATTTAGTGGATAGAGACAAGGGACGCTGCTAAACATCTTATGGTGCACAAGACAGACCTCACGACAAAGAATTATCCAGCCCCAAGTGTCAGTAGCGCA